TATTTTTAATTCGATAAATAATCTCGATGTGCTCGATTTTTTTTATACATTGATACGTCAATTGATGATGAATGTCTCCTTCATTCGTTCATTTTTTTTTTTTTTTTATATCGAAGAAATAATCATTTTTGTCTACAAGTTTTATTAGTATATTTGCCACATCTCTTTAAATATTTTATTAACATCGAAAGATAAAAATGTATATTACAATGATATTAATTGATATTGTAAGAGGAAATCACTCTCTCGAATTAAAACTGAACCCCTAAATTCGCAACCTGATCGAGTTTACGAGCTTTCTCACTCGTCAACATTTCGCCGGAAATCTTTCTCTTCATAAATTGTGAATTCCTTCCCTTCATCATTTCCTTGTCCAATTTCGCTTGCTGTGTCTGTTGTTGCCGGTTCTGTCGTGGCATCTGCATCATACCTGTAGCACATCTACAACCGATTGCGAATAAAATATTTATTTCATAGAGAGAAGAAATAATTTTAACATTCAACAATCAGGAATCGTCAATTTTCGGATTTTTCGAAATAATCTTAAAAAAAAGAAAATTTAAATAAAAATGTGTGATTAAAAAAAGAAATGAAACAATTAACTCAACTAACTTTGAACAAGACATTCCTTTAAAAAGCTGTATAAACGCGGGACAAGTTGCGCATTGAAATTGATTCTTGACCAAAGCTGAGGAACTTGAGGAAAATTGTATCTGTTGATGGCATAGCTCACACTTGCTCAATGTTTGCACGTTTATCTCTTTCATTTCTTGAAGAGTCTGATCACACAATTTATCGAATTAAAATAAAGTAGATCGATGAAAGAATATTTACATTTCTACGTAAGTTTTGTTGCCTTTTTTTTTTTTTATTTTCTGGATATTAAGAGGAAATGTTTTTTAAAATGAGAGCAGGGATTAATGTCTTTTTAATTGTGTAAAATCAAAATTCAGTTATTTAATTTTATATATTTCCATTATTTTCTCACTGTTCAACATTCAGAAACTCAATTTTAATTTCAATCTATCTTAAATAATATTTGACAAAATTATCCAATATCCAGTATCTAGATTTTGAATATTACAAAGAATATTAATATAATTTCAAAGATAAATTTTAAAGTGTAATCCACTTTTATATAAAAATATAAATGTTACATTTCAATTTTCAATAAGATAAAATGTGGGACGAACAAGTGTCTTTTCTTATCTGTAATAAAAAAAAAAAGCTCCATTTCTTGGCAACTGGAGAAAACTTAAAGAAATTAGTTCGAACAATTAGTCTGCAACGACTTGGAAACGCTTTGGTATAAATATACATATTGCTCATTTCCATTTTTACCTGATTCTCTGCTGTCGCTATCGGATAATGATCCGTTTGAATGTCGGCAGCATCCACGTGGCATAATTTCTGAGCGCTCGTTGAACAATCGATGTATTGTCGCCGGTATCCCTGTGCAATTTTTCTAAAACTGTGATCAACCTCTTCGCCGTCGTCGTATAATTTGATCTGGCTCACGCTGGTCATTAGGTCATGTTTGACCGTCTAGATTGTAGAGATACACCTTAAAAGAAACGCGACACTCCAGGAACATAGATTACTTCGAACTAGTTACATTATAAATAATAGAATATAATTGTAAAAATTGATCGATGAATGATTATTTATATTAAATGCTATTATATTATTGTTATTATCTTTCTTTTTTATCGAGTGAAATATTACATTTTTTAATTATTTAAAATGTATTTATATTTACATACTTACACCATATTACGAACAATATACGTTGCACATGAATATTAATACATTTTACCACGTAAAAGTCTGATTTCTCATGATGAAAGATGATAAGTATTTTTAAAGTTTACACAAATTCTGGTAAAAATAAAATTCTTTGAAAATTGTTCTCGTTCACACTTACCTCGCATAGGGGGGAGCACATTTCTTTCAGATATGGTTTCTTCGTGTAACATTGGTGGCAGATATTACAGCTACGTTTCCAAAATCTGGAAGGAAGAACCAAAGGAAGATATCGCGTTGGAAATTTTATAATTTCAATATTAAACGTGAAAAACTTACATCAGTATCAGTGCTAATTGGATCACAAAGAGAATGAACATGAAAAGCGAAAGACACGCTATCGTTAATATGTACCACGGAGTAAGCTTAAAAAGTAACAAGAGAATTCCAGTTATGGCAAATAATATCGTGCCCAGTAACGTGAACAGAAACATCTGCAATAAAGATATTCGTTCTTCGAAAATTTTATACTTTGTCGCGTTGCATATGCATTTTTTTATCTGCGAATATTTATGAAACAGAGAAGATATGCACAAGTATCTTGAAATGATTCTTTCCTATTTTTAATTCAATATTTAATCCTGGACGATATTGAAAAAGAGATATTAAAAATCGATTACTATTATCAATTAAAAATCTTTTGCACGATCTCTTTATACATATATACATACATTCTTTATCATAATGTAACGAGAAAATATGAATTTTCATAAATATCCGCAATATACAGTGATATTTTCACATAAAGATGAAAATTTAAATTGATTTTTCAACTTATGAGAAAATTTGTTCGCGCAAATGTTTACCGGTATCCCGCCCAATTCTCCTCCTCCGAATTGGCTAATTAGATCAATCGATAACGCGATAAGGTAGGCTCCAGACAGGACGAGGAGTAAAATATATATTAAGGATGGTAAATCGGTCTCAAATAACATTGTCGCATAAACGACAAATGAAAACATCAGCAGTACCGCTAGCTAATCAACACATACATTTATTTCGTTTAATTTTTAATTATATTGAGATAACGTATTGTGTTATGCATCGAATTAATTTTTATTTTATTTATTTTTCCTTTCCAACTGATACTCACAAATTGAATAATTCTGAGTGGTTTTATTACTAATTGTACACATTTGCTGATTTTTTGACTCTTTTTATTCCTTTGAGATATTTTATAAACTTCTATAAAAAAAAAAATGTTCGTTATTTTTGAAAGGAAATAATAAAAATTAGGAGGAAGGGTAATGAAAGATAATTTTACCTCTTCTTGGATTTCTCGAGTTCATTATCATTTGGTTTTATAAAGTTTTATCAGCTTTCTGTCATCGAATGAACCTTTATTATTCCTTCACTACATATTTCACGTGTATTTCAATTTATTTGTTTATTGTTATATCGATGCATCACGATGTATCGATAGATTTGCAATTTTCTTCTGAGATCGTGTTATACAGAAGAAGAGTTATGTTCAGATTGTGAGTTATGTTCATATGTATTAAGTTAAGTTGGTTCCTTGATCGATTGATAAGTTGAAAAGATGAAAGAAGAAAAAAAAAAGGAATTTGATTGAAATATTTTTTCTTTTGCAATAAATTTCACAAATTATACGACGATGCATGATTAATAAAATTAATCGATAAAATATTTCTATTATTCTTCCATTGTTTCGTATATATATTATACAGTATGAATTACATGTATATTTTAACACTCTTTATTGATATAACTTTACATTTCACTTACAAAATTATATTACAAAAATTTCGAAATATTAATAGGAAAGATTGCATGGAAATCTTTCATTATTGTAAATAATTGGACGGAATATATTTTGATAAAGAGACGTTCATTTTTATTAAATCTAATAGATCTATAAATCGATAAATATTTATAAAGGCAAATTTTAATTTTTTGATCTTATTTTTAATTAATAATAATTATCAAGTATAAAAACTATAACTCTCTATATATACTCTATATATACTAATTATCTAAGAATATTCATGGCAATTCTGAGGTTTGTTGCATATATAAAATGTATAATGAGAATAAGAAATATATAATATTATTATACATAATTCTACACTAATCATACAAACTTTGGATTAAGTAAGAATATAAGTAATATTTAATATTTTTATTCGTATTTTTTTTATTTTTTTTTTTCGGTGGAATTTTTATTAGCTTCCTTAAAAAATATATAATAATATTTTGTATACGTAGAAAATCTTTGGATATTAGTTTTCTCTATTACTAAATTTACTATATTTCTAAAAAATTGATGATCAAAGTATACCAACTATGAAAAATTCTATTATCAATCCAAAATATTATAATATCCTAATCATTTAAAGCTATGTTTCATAAAATCTAATTTTCTACAAAGTACAATTCATTTGTTACTTTATTTGTACATTTTCTATAAATTTCTATGTCTAACTTATATCTAATCAAGTATTACTTAACCTATGTGCTTATTTTAAAAATTGGACGGAATCAGGACTTACAATTTAATCTTAAAATTATTAATCTTTAAATATTATTTGGCTTGTGAATTATTTTTAGACTGTATTTCGGTGTACATCATTTTTTTTTTCTTCATATTATTTTTCAATGTATCATGTAGAACACATTTGGTGGAAAATTATCTTTCTTCGATTCTCTTCCTTATTCCATAATTTCTTGCAACTACCATTCTCCGAAAGTACTTATTATCATTAATTATTGTGATAAAATAAAATTTCTCCTATCAACTATGATATATTTTACACACTTACCATTCATACTTCTATATATATGTATATATATATATATTCTAAAAAGATGTTTTAAACGTCTAAAATCATTAAACGTCGTCAAAAATTAATCATTATTCCTTACAACAATAATTCTTCGATCTCTTCCTTCTCGAAAAATTTACATAATATTAAATATTCATATCTTTCTGAATTATTAATAACTTATTCATTAAGTATATAATCTTTGCAAAAATATTTTCCTCTTCCTCGTCATTTCAAAATTTTCACTCTGTGCCTTTCGACGAGAACTTAATGATGAAGAAAACTTCTAGAATAAAAACAACAGCGTTTGCAAATGTGAACACGGCCCCAGATATGAACATGTCCATGTACTGCTTGCTCGGATAGAATTCATTGTTGTTGTAATAAGGGCCGATAATCTTCCTCCAATTATAAACAATTACGCTCCCAGCGACGATGTGGAGGAGCGCCCCAACCGAGGAAAATATTACTAACTGCAATCAGAGCAGATCGATGATCACGTGATCAACGATTCACTTTTACTTATATTTTTCAAGGAAAATCATCGAGAAATAGAAATAGAAATATACAAAAGGCAAATTTTGATATATATTAAAGTTTTAAATATTAATAGTAATATAATATTTAAAACTTTAATATATATCAAAATTTAGTAATAGTAATATAGTTTTAAATATTAATAGTAATATTTAAAACTTTAATACATATATTAAATTAAAATTATACTAATTGTGTGTCTGTTATTACAATTGATTATAGAAATATACGAATATTATATTTTATGAATGATTTCACAATCTCAAGTGAAAATCGATTTTAAATCTATAGAACGGATTCATTTGAAAATCTTTTTTTTTAGATGCAATCTAAGTCTCTGTGTTACTTTAAAAAAAAAAAAAAAATTTCTTTGTAAATAAAAGTTCCTTGCACCATGGAAAAGGAGGCCACGGTGTCGTTCACTTTCAAACACGGCAATTATTCTTCGCGTTATCACGCCTGTGTGATACGAACGACAATAATTATCGCGTGTCTCGAAACAACCAGTCCCAGATACTACGAGCACCGATCGTTTGTCGAACATAAATGTCGAAAAGTAGGTGGTCGATAAACTGTATAAGAAGTTGATAAGTTATGAATTTTAATCGAACAAGAACGGAACACAAGCGCGTAGATTTGAAACGATTAACTCAAGGCAGATTACAGTGGCGATACGATGGCGATTTTTAAATTGTATAAAGATTATTTAATAAAATTTCGATAATTTAATATGGCAATAATTTGAAATGGAATGAGAAAAATATACAATAGAACTTCTAAATGGCAGAGTCATTAAAATGGAATTAACTGTGGTGGGGAGAGGAGCCTTTAATCGGTTCCTAATGACCCGTAAAATTATAATATTCGTAAATAATATGGAATGTAAATCGATACAGTTATTTAACTTGCTGGCTCAATGTCATTTACAAGCCATGAGAAATAAGCCTTCATTTTATACCTTGAATATTTAACGAACTCGTATTAAAAATCCTTGATGAATATTTTATTCCTAGAAACTTAGGAATTGGCATTAATTATGGATTTAATTATTAGAGAGATACTTTTTTAAAGTAGAAATTATTAGAAAATCGGAGAATTTTATTATTACAAATAAATTTAAAAGAAAATCTTTGTTCAATTTAAAGATTGTTTCAATTTGCTAAAATAGAAATTTCTTTTTTGCACGTTACGATGTGATAAATAATTCCGTACACATTTCGAAATGAAAAGTACACTATAGTCACGAAAGACACTCAATTATTGGATAAATAATTTATGTAAAATTGCAGAATCAGAAAATATAAAATATCCAAAGTATAAATTAATAAAATAAATTTTCATTCAACGATAAATATCTTTAATCTACTAACGATTTATTGCTATTCGTGCAAATAGTGCTCTTCCTCGAGAGAATGCCGGAAACTTCGGCCTTGCTAGTAGATTTACGCCTAAAATACTGAATGTAGGAAGTGAATCTATATTATTCGTCCTTTTGTCACGCGATCCCTTGATTGTGACGCTTTATCCATCGTCACGTAATTTTTTTTCTAATCATAGAAATAAAAAATTGCACGACAAAGCATATGCAAACTGTTTTCTAATAAAACATTTTTCTAAATAATTTTTATCTTTCATATTTTTTAAAATTTTTTAAATTTGAGAAAAAATTATAGATGCAAGTTTTGCTATTAATTTATAACATCTTTTATATTTTCTGAATTATTCTCATTAATTTAAAAACTCATTAATTAACTTACCGTTCTTTTCGGTATTCGATCGCCCAATATTTGGCAAATGATGAAGAGCGTGTTGATTATGATGTAACCAGCGATAGTGATGTAAATTATCGCAGCATCGTCAAGCTTGAATTGTAATCTGAGCGAAAGTTTTTGGAACGAATTCAATGGATCCACGATTAATCCGATCGAGAACACAGCTAGTATCTGTCGAACAAAGAAAATTTGCAAATTTAAATCAAAGATTATAATCAAAATTAATTAAAATCAAATATTTTTTATTAAATTTATTTGATAAATTTTAAAAAAAATATTACTTTTCGAAATTCTTATTTCTTAGCTTGATCAATTCATTATCAATTTAACAGGTCAGGTTCCAATTTCTTTTTAAGGAAAAGCGTACAATAAATTTCATTGTCACATTTGCATAATTCTTTCGCACTTAATTTTTAATTTCTTTTTATTATTATTTTTTTTTTAATTAATTAATCAATCATTACTTACGATTTCCAAAATTTTTAGCGAAAATGGCAAGTAATTCATAATTTTCCGCTCCTTACGCGCAGGTTGACTCTCCTGCTGACTCTCGTCTGCCATTCTGACTCTACGATGTTTTCCTCTTCCGTCACCCAGTTTGAAAGATTTCAGGTCTTTGTCCACGATCAATTTTTCCCACCTTTTGATCTTAATCTCGTCTCATCAAGCGCATTGAACCTTAGCAGCGATAAATAACACGATTAACATCTGAATTAGTGCTGTGTGCATAAAATTAAAGCCTCGTGGACACGGAAAGTGATTTTACGTATAGATAATTGTTGCATGCGATATTTAAATAACAAGATTTAACACGGATCTTTAATATTTCCGCGATATTTTACAAATCTCTGAAAATTATGTATTTTGTAAACGTTCACTGTGCGATACATACACAAATGCATCGTTTATGCAGTTGATGTCCCCCTATGCAATTAACATTCTTGAAATTTCTGAATCATAAATATTGCGCAATCATAGTAAACGTGATTCAATGACAAACTATATTCTACGAACTGCAAGAATTGTATTTCTTTTTCCTAGAATTTTTTTCAAACAAAGTTTTAAAACAAAAAGAATAATTCTTTAATAAATAATATAACTCCAACTTGCAATAACTCGACCATCCAACGAATTTAATTTTAATTTCGTCGAAAATCAATATTTAAATAAAAACATCCTTCTATTATTATTCCATCTATTAAACAACTTACCTTCCTCAACAAATTGATTCCTCACCATCCACGTGGATCATTCAAAATCTCTTCCAATCCTCACATGCAAAAACTTGTCAACCTTCAATTTTCCTCCTTTCCAAATCGATTCCTCGTCGATAATTTTACTTTAATCCGTCTCAAACCTCGTCAAACCTCGTCAAACCGAGTTACACGAACGAGAAAGAGATAGAAAGAGAAAATCTTCTTCACTTACGATATCTCTATCGATACCTCGCAATTGGCACAAGTAACAAATGCGGATGGTCGTCCAAATGTGGAGGAGAAACACGGAGTTGCACACCGTGTGGCGGACGAAGTTAAACTGGAACGCCAACCGTGACACAACAACGCGGGTCTACGGCGTACGTAGTTACGAGTTGCGCAGGCGGTTTGCCGACTTTGTTCATCGTGTGTCTGCCTATCGTGTCACTGGTGTGCAATTTAGCGAAAAACTATCCACTTTACTCCCTAAAAACACGTCTAATCGACGCGGATCGTTCGCTATTCCCTCCCTCTCTCCTTCTCTCTCCACTTTCGCTTCCCTTTTTTCTCTTCCGACAAAGGAAACTCTTTTTCTTTCAATTTCCCGAGGAAAACTGCGCGTTTCTTGCGTAACGACGGATTTCTCGCTCTCCCTACTTCGAGGAAAGAGAATTTATCGAGTCTGATCGAGGGTACAATGCGTTAGTTTGTTGTTGTGGTTTTACGGTGGAACATCATGTCGAGGAGGAGAGAATAATTGGATGGTGGGCGAGGCTTCTTTTTCTGGGTTAAATTGGTCGAGGAGAGTTGCCTCTTTGTGAATTACGAAATTCCTTTTATTCCGGGGGGCGCAGAGAACGAAGTCGGTAAATTTTTGTAAAATAATTTCGAGCACGAATCGAGATACTGATAATTAGATACAAATGATCAATTATAAGTGTTTGAACACTTAAATGGGGGAAACGAGTGTTGCGAAAACAATGTGTAATTGTTTAATTGTGTGATTGCGCAATAGATGAAAAGTTCTGTTCGATATTATTCAAAATTAAGTCTTCGAAATTACGATATAAATTGATAAATTAAGGCTCTTCGATCAAAATTCTGATATCATTTACAAAATATTGACAAAATAAAATTTATCCTTCTTTCGACGATATATCCGCATACTCGTCTCTCTCTCTCTTTTTCTTCTCGATCATTTAAAAAGAATCCAATGGAATATATAAGTCGATAAATTAAGACTCTTCGATCAAAATTCTGATATCATTTACAAAATATTGACAAAATAAAATTTATCCTTCTTTCGACGATATATCCGCATACTCGTTTCTCTCTTTCTTTTTCTTCTCAATCATTTAAGAAGAATCCAACACGGAATAACGTCTTGAAGCTCAGAATTGCGAAAAAAGGAAAAAGGGGAGGGGAAAAAAAAAATGGTCTTCAGTAATCGGAGTCTGTGACGAAGGGCAAGGTAACTGCGAGATTTAATTCGCGAGCACGTGTTGTTGGAAGGTATGCATCGTTGCATGCTGCACATCACATGACTCACGGTGTATAATTTTGCTTGGACTTGTGTGTATTGCGGATGTGTACACGTGCAAAAACCTTGCGGGCAGACCGATTAAACACGCATGAACGAAAAATACACGATCGAGGGCGGGTCGAGAAATGGTTGGAATAAAAGGATCGGCGAAAAGGAACGCTCTCCCCCTGAAAAATCGATCTTTAAATCGATTCGTGGCTCGAATCGTATTACTTACGTTGAGCAATATTGCGAAATAATTTCTCTACGACTCCTTTTTTCTCCATTTCATACGTATGTATCGTATTACATGTCGATACAACAAATATACTTTTCTTGAATAAATTAGAGGAGAGCTGGTATCGATTATTAAACGGTTTGTTCCGTTTAGAGAGATTGAGAATTAATTTTTGATAGAGAATAATTGGATATTGTAATAATCGAATGGAGAAATGGATTCCATTGATTTTGAAATTGTTCTATTGTAAATAGTAGAAAATATAGGTAAAAATAGGTAAAAGAAATTTTCCATTTGTGAATTTCCAAGTGTTTTTGTAACATACTTTGAAAGTTCTTCTTCCCTTACATAGTAATTTAATTGGAACGTACGTAGAATAGAAGAAGAGGAATAATTTGATTTCTGTGTAAAGGAAATTATAAATTAGTACGTTCCATGTTTAACTACCGACTAAAAACTACTTATAGAAAGTTATAAGATCACGACCGTGACACAGTAAACGGGTTTGTGTGAATATTGAAACGAGATAGGGATAAATTGCCAACTTTTTTTTAAATATGAAATGAATCAGTCAAGTCAATAACAGAAATGAAATTTCGTTACATCGAATATCAAGCGTGAATTTGTAAGACGAATTACGATTTAACGAACGAAAAAAACATATATTAAAATAAATATACGAAAAATAAAAATTTTGCATTCAACTTAAAAAATTAATAAACTCAAAAATATATTGCATTATCGCGAACGATTCGAACTAAACTTAACTTACACTGACAACAGATTATTTTCTAATTGCGCAATACAGTTTTAGCTACTCCTATTACAGAAAAACTATACTGCACTATACGTATGCGACGTAACGCATCTGAACACAATCACTTATGTATGCGCAAATATTTTCATACATTGACAAGTACATACATGCACAATTGTGCGTGCTAAAAAATTACGTGTTCACTAGGTCAGTAGGTGCGGCCTGGTCTTCATTGGATTCGATTATGCAATCCTTCTATCGATCTTGAATTATTATTAAACTTTTCCACTTTAAAAAATTACGCTTTGAAACAATAATAAAAAAAATCCAATTCCACGAATTTTTTTAAAGGAAACAAATTTATGTCACAATCCAAGAGTTAACAAAATTAATTTGTGTAAAATTCTCCAGAACTAAAAATAAAAGGACGAATTAAATCTTTATTTACAGAGATAATAAAAATTTCTAAATTTACCATAATATTCTTCTAAAAAAATAAATAAATAAATAAATTCTCGAATCTCGAGAATAAAATATATATAATTCTCAAAAAACGATAATTTTTATTATTGTATAGAAAATTAATATGCTTATTACATCGATTTCTTATTTTCTTTTCCGTGTCATCGTTCCCTTTCTCTCTCTCTCTCTCTCTTTCTTTCTTTCTCTTTCTCTCCCCGTTTCTCCCCAATTTATTTTTATTAACGTCGAGTCGCGCCCTGTGAAGTTGAATTACAAGCAGCATTCCTAATTAACGCGATTATGTATCCGGATCGTGGGTGTACCGATGGTTGTACCGCTCATCCACGATAATTAGGGGTCAAGTAGATTAATTGATGATGACCATCATTTCCAATCCTTTCTTACTTCGATGTGTTCGCCTTGTCCATTGACTCACTCGCCTTCTTCGCCCTCTCTCCCGATTCCCATAATTTCTCGAATTCTTGAATTCGTGTTTTCATCCTCAGAGAATTTGATTTGAGTTTCATCACGTCTCATTCTCGCTCTTATATTCTTCTCTAACATTCTCACAAATATCCCAATATTTCTCGAAATAAAAATATATTTACAAATCATTTTTTTTTCTTTTCTTTTCTTTTTTTTTTTTTTTTAAGCGATTCGAAACAAAATTTCGTCGATATGTATTTTCAAAGAATATATATTCTTCCTCTTCTCCCTCCTCCCCCTTCCTCCCCCATCCTCCTCCCTGTTTCCAAGCATTATGAAAACGTTCGATCCATGTATTCGCGCATTTCTACAGCACGATGAACCAATATAGCGCAGGAGCTGGCGAATTGGAACAAGAAGATCAGGGCCAATATGAATTCCGATATGCTGGAAATATAAAGTCAGGTGGACAATTTTTGCTTATCCTCTATTCCTCGTACGAATTGCATTCTTGTTGGATTAAATTTTATATCATTATTATTATATTATAGAATGTGAAAAAAATTTGGTTATACGCACTTGTAATCTTCATTATGCTCCTCATGAAGAATACCAATTATCCAGTTGACCCATTTGAGAAGCTGATACGTGCCACATATTATACATCCCATCCCTCCAATTACAACGAAACATATTTCCTGTTTATAATCGTGCATTTTTTTTTTTTTTTTTTTTATAGAAGAAACTTTTTACTCGATCTGTTTTTT